AAAGGTAGAAAAATCCACAACCGCGACGATCCGCCGTGGTGGCTGAGTTTGGACCGGGTTATCAATAGGGCCCTTTTCGCAAGGTTACGTATGGGTTGTTTATCTAGAATGAGAATTGGGCGGGGAATACAACTAATAATAATAATAATAATAAGCAGTCGCGAAGCAAGGGCCTTGGGCATCCACACTCGATTGCCCCCCTCTCTCATAGCCATGCGTGGACGCTTTCTTACAAAGAGGAATCGGCGTGATTAGTTGAGTAGACCGCCACAAATGCGGCAGAAAGGGCCTACCACGAAATCCGCGAAGCCGCACCCGAAGCATTTGGTCAGAACCGACGTCTCGGAATAGAAGGATAGCGGCGAAAAGGTTCGCGGCGAAAAAACCGTCGTGTGCACCTCCAACGCCGCCTCCGAGGCCCCCGAGGACGCCTCCCCGGCGTTAGGAATCGCCGCGTGGGTGGAATCAAACATAAAACTCCACGAAAGACACGCCGCCTGGGCGGCATCGCAAACCGAGCAGGGGTAAATTCGGGCAAAAAGCGCCTCCGCCTCCTCGGCGACCCCAACTTTGGCCAAAAACGCCTGAATCGACACCGCCCAGTCGGCGGCGCAGCACCACGGCGCCAAGGCCCCCCCGCCCGCCGTCTCCTTTTCCGCCCGCCCTTTCGCCAGCTCGCGGAGGTAGAAATGCGCGAAGCCGACGGCCCCGCCGTAGTTCAGCTCGTAGGGCGAAACGGCAGCCCCTTGGGGCGGATCGGCCTGCCAGAAGGTCTCGCCGCCGGCGAGCTGAAGCCCGGCGTAGCCGGCGTGCAGGCCGATCACGCGAACGGCATTCGCCAAGATGATTTCGTACAGCGGCGTGGCGTCCTGTGGGCGGCGCCGCCAAAGGCTCTTCAAGATCGCCCACCAGAACCGGCCCCCCGCGGGGCTCTCGAAGTGGGCGGGGGGGATGGCCGAACCGCAATCCCCCTCCCCCGCCGCCTCCGTCTCGCCCGTTGTCGGGAGGTAGCGCAAAAAGAGCTCCACGCCGTAGCGCGCACGAAGCCGAAGATATTGCTGACGCCACTGCTGAATCGCATGTTCGACCATCGACGCGGGTTTGGTCGAGGAAAAGGAAAAGATCCGCCCGGTCTTGGGCCCCTGGGGATCCGTGGATGGCATCGATGCCGAGGTAAGGTTATCGGAGGGGAGCGCCTTGTAGAACCCCCGCCAGGAATCGCGATAGGACAACATGGAAAAGATATTGTGGCTCTTGGGGAAAAGCATCTCCCACAGAAAGTACGAGTTCCCGCACTGCTTCGATAACACAACGGCCATCCCACTTTCAGCCCCGGTAAAAGATGGAATCTTTTTTTCCGGCGAAGTGGCCTTGTCGTCGCGGTTCGATCCCGCCAACGACGTCCCGCAAGGGATGGGGG